ATCACAGAAGAGAAGGATGGGGGATGAAGCAGCTCATTTTGCAGAATAATATGCATTATAAAATCTTGGTGAATGATGACATGTGACTGGATGACTGTGCTTTTCATGTGTTTCAGACAAGGAGGTGTTTGGATATAATATTCCTATTCTAACAATCTCCCTGGAGCTTAAACAATTCTCTGGACAGCAGTATTAAACAGTTACTTCCCAATGCATTACATATGATAGTGTAAGGTTGATAATTACAAACCAATCAGCACACTTTCTTAAGCCTAAATATTTTGCCTTTTGGCAGGAGGAAACTTACCATAAAAGATAAAAATAAGGAAAAAATTGAAAGAAGTTCTCACACATGGTACAAACTTCTAGTATTCTTTTTATCACTATCAAACCATTTTTAAAGTTGTGATTTTTTTTCCTTCATAGCTTGTTTCTTCATTCATAAGCAATGAAGAGCATATTAAACCAAAGTTATTCTTTTGCAAGACAACTTGAGTCCAGAAGGCTTTTGAGATGCTTTGTTCCAATCTTTTTTAATAAATATTGCTACCCAAAGTAACTTCCTATCAAATTCTCTTAAAATAAGTGTCACAATGAAGAGCCTTGCCTTATGGTTTTAACTACTTCACAGTATTTTTCACAAAAATCAGGTACAATAAAATACTATCTGGATAAAATTTTTTGTTATTTTATAACTGTAGAATAAATTATGTTGGAAGGTTTTTTGTAACTGAGCTGAATCTGTTCTCTTGAAAAATAGTTTTCTTTTTCAAGAAAAATACCTGTGGCACCATTCTTTCATAATTAAGACTAACATTAATCTACATAAGGAATCTAGCGTGCTTATATTAAAGGAATGCTTTTTAAGTATTCAGGAGGTGCTGTATAAGCATTGCAGGGCCTATAATCCACATCCTGCAAGGTCTGCAATGTTTCAGAACTTTGACAGTACAATTAGAGATGTGAGGATAATCAAGCCAGATTTTATCTTCCTAGTCAATATATTGCAAGCTTCAGTGGGATTCTGGAATTCAGCATCTTTCCATAGGCACAAGAAACCATCAGTCACTAAACCTGTTGCTGGCACAAGCTCACTGCTCTCAGTACTGAACCAGAAGATTAAATCTATTGTAGGTAGTCTTGAGAACAATTTCCAGCATCTGTTGTTTGCCATGTGGATGAAGTTTCAGGGAGATTTTTATTGGTTTGAATGCAAATAAAATCTACCAAGAACATCAAAATGTTTTGGAAGAGCCATATGATCTATCAGAGTGTTTCCAGGAATCCCTGTATTATTTGCAGTTTTAACACCCTGTAAAACTGGGAGTCCCTAGAGCCTGGCTCAGGTCTTCTGGTCCACAGCTGAGTCAAATGCATTACTGTTGTTGCCTTAGACACAGAGTTTAAGATTAAGATCTGTTACCTCTTGAATAATGATTCAGGAGTAGCCTGCTGTGTTTACTCAGAGGTAAAGGGTCCTCCATCCAGCAAATTTCCACCTAATTTTCCTGACAGTCTCACACTGAAGGATGCTGCTGCAGAATACACTGCAGTTCAGTCAGCTGCAGAGGTGTCCTTATTCCTCCTGGTCACCTGCAGTCCCTGACAGACTCAGAGGAACCAGCAATTCATAGGCCTCTGCCTTCAGTTTGGTGATAACCCCCAGAAACCATTTGTTCCCTGGTGTTTCCCCGTGCAGAGTTTTCTATGCCAGCCTTTCCTGCTGCCCACATGGCTGGCCACTCTGTTTGTAGTGTACTCTGGCAGGGTGGACTCCTCTTGAAAGTGAGCTCCTCAGAGTATATTTCAGATGCTGTACAGGCAATGCCAGAGGAAAGAGGAATGACAGAGAAGATGAAAAGATCTGTCTTGTACACAGAACTGTCATGTCTTAATGTAAATCAAAACCCCCTATGCTTTAATACACTCTATTAGAATATAGGATTTTTGTAGCTATGCTTGCACTCTTTTTCTTTCTTTTTCTATTTTTTCCTATGTCAGGCGACATCTTATGTGAAATTTTCTACATTGTCCACACATTCGAACACCCAGATCTCACATTACTACAATGTGAAATAAACTATTGCTGGCAAGTGATGATTCTCACTGAGCTGTGAGGAATACGGACCATATGCACGTTGTTCTCTACAAACTTTCAGTTGGATTTCAGTGAGCTGACACCTATCTCTAATGGCTCATAGTTTCCTTTATTTCTGGTTTGTTTGGGTTTTTTCCTTTTTCTGACACAGTAATTTGAGGCAAGTCTATTTTTAAGAGCCAGGAACCTGTGACAACCAGTCCCTGAGGGGAAAATATTATTTAAATAATTCCATGTAGTCTGCTAAAAGAGAGAATAAATATAAGTGGAAAAATGTGACTAATATATTTCTCTGAATCCCCAGTGTGCTTCTTTTTTAGTCATCTGTTCTCTCTCCTCTAAGCCCCGATCCCACATGTGCTAAGCAGTAAGCACAGAACCTACCTGCAAGTTAAGGGTATCTTATAGTCCTGGTATAGGGAATCTTCTACATTCTAGTTTTCCAGCCTCTGTGCCTTATTGACTAGTAAGGGCACCTTTACCACCTTACCAGTTTCAGTACTTTTTGTTAGTTTAGTGTTCCCAACAGTCATAGAAATACTGTTATCCTTCTTTGGGTACAAAGGAGGACCAGAGAAACAGAGTTGAATAGCTTTCTCTGGGCCATACAGGGATTATGTGACAAACTAGGATGTGACACTGTTAAATAATACTGTAAAGGATTACACTTCCCTCTGAAGCTTAACTCCCAGTTTAAACTGACGTATTCTACAAACAGGCACCATGTTACAATACCAGTGCTCATTAAATGATAGATTGAAAGTCAGTTTCAAATACCAGAGCAGCACATTCTCCTTGAGCCTTCTTTGTTAATAAATTGTGAATCAGGTATATCCCATCAATAACCTGTTGTGAAAAACAAAACTTTTCCTGGTTAGAACAGGCAATGCCATTACAAAAATGTTGTATTGTACTTCTCATTTTATCTTGCAGATAAACAAGACTAATTACCATGATCTGATAATGCCATTTCCAGAACAAAACGTACAGTACTGAAAGGTACAATACATTTGCAATACAGAGATGGTTTATTTTAGGCATTAAATGAAGTGGCATTAACATAGAGTATGAAAAATACTGCCCTATTCATAATAGAATCTTTCTTGAAGGAACAATTGTAAAAATGGATTTTGGATTTTACTGCTTAAGTCAAAATATTAAATGTTTTACTAAATTATATTTTGAAAAATATGAAGCTTGTGCCACGAACAAGAAATAACTTTTATTATGCAGGGTATCTTGCGTGAAATTTAATTTCTTAGATTTCATAATGCAAAGTTAATCCTTGCTAGACCTTGAATAAGTAGGAGGTTAGCAGAGTCAAGGAGACCTAAAAGTCAAATCTTTTCACAAAGACTATTTTTCATTTTCTGATTGATTAGGGCAAAATAGCCATCACAATCAATATGACGAGCAAACAGGATGATTGAGTGGTAAAGTAATAGGTGGAAAATTATTTGAGGGGTGTGGATTTTTTAAGAAAGGAGGGTATGAAAGAAAAGTCGTATTCAGGCAAGAAGAAATCAGAGCAGTAGAAAAATTATCATTTTTAATACCTCAGGCAGCACAGAACAGCTGCTGTGCCTAACAGAACAAACAATTCTTGCACCTGCAGAAAGACAAGAAATAATAGCAACACAGCATCTTCCCGATGAAAAGAAGTAGATGTGGATGTCCTTGAGAATATAAATTGAGATTCCTGTTAAGGTCACAGCCCAGCAACTGTGTGAACAAAACAGATCCAATGACATCAAACACCTTGTCTGAGTTACTGCTGTATACCTAACATACAACATATTTTATTCCATATGCTTCAGTGGGCATATTTGCTTAAAAAGTTGTGTGTAACCTGCAGGAGGTGGAGAGGGCCTCCCCCCCAGTGCTGTGGCAGCCAGAACTCTGGCCACAGCCCAGGCTGCCCACCCACTGCAGGGAGAGGCAGTCAGGCACCAGCACTGTGCCTCACTTGGGCCACATGGTGAGGACCAAAAATTTGGGATGTATGCATCCTGCTGTGATGCCAAGAGACAGTCACTGATCACTGCAGAAGAGTACTTGTATTCTAACTGCAGGCATCAGTGATTAAGTATAGCAAAGAGGGAATTATGCCACATGAATGGCCATCTGACAACTTTCCAGGTACAATATAAACAGTCCTGAGGTTATCAGAGAAATACCTGAACAGAGAAACTTTATCAGCATGCACAGGACTTTGCTGCCTACAGAGAGCTTGCAAAGCACATGCTTAAGATAGACAATCACGAACACCAAGGTGAAATATCAAAAAATAGGACTTAAAGGGAAGAGTACATTTCTCAGGACAGGCATCTGGATATTGTGGAGAATGAAATTTTGAATGAAACTGCAGCAGAATAATCAAATAAAGCCTAGGTTTTACAGACAGAGAAATATACCATATATCACAATACATTTTTATAGGACAGGCTTCAATAGCTCCCAAGAACCAGGTGACAACCTTAATGTTGGCTGACTGAAGCTATTACATTGCTATCATCACAGATCACTTTTGCATTAGTGATGTGCTAATACCACCAAACGGATTTTAGTACATTATAATGTTGGAATTAACTAGTGTTTTCTGATAAGGAGCAAGTCACCTTCTATTATCAGACATCAAATCATTTTAATATTTTGCTGATAGGTTCTCCTCTGGTACAATCTGCCAAAGAAAATAGTTTGCCTGCCTATAGAGTGGAAAGAAAATGTGCCTGAATAAGATGCAGATAAAAATGGGTACAGAAATTAGGCCTGAAGTACCGCAGATTTCCCAAGGCCTTGCTAAGATCTAAGAGGCAGTTATATTTGGCTTTAAGTGTTCCAGCCCGTTTCTCCTCAGAAAATGATAGATCCTATTCAGAGAGTTCAAATGATGACAAGGATATTTAAAGGAAGACAAAATTTCATTTATTTGTGACGCACAATACATTCATCAGTGGAAGAATAGGTATGGTAGATAGAGAAAGATATCTTTGTAGCATCATGTGAATTTGGACCTCAGATATCAAATATGGACCAAATCTTTCATTTTGGCAACTGGGCTATGACCATAAGTGTGTGCCTATATCAGGGATTGAAGGTTTTGTGGGTTTTTGGGGGGCTTGAATACATATATATGGAGACTTATGGTACACACTCAAGCATAAAACTGGCACACTTGAAGTGGGTTCCTTTTGAAACAAAGGTTACTGCCATGCAATAAAACACTAGCTAGGGAGCTCCATTTTAATGTAGACACAAGGTCTTCCACTACATAGCTTTCTAGATTTTTGTGGCACTTGTAATGTTAGATTATTGGCAATCTGTTTATGATTTCATATCCATGATGCTTGTTGATAGAGATGCTGTTACAGGTCTGCTCTTTATCTATCAATTATCAAATTATAGTCACAGGTGGACCTCTGCACTGTTATCTCTCTATTTTTACTTGGTGCTATGTCCTATTGATGGTGGATAATACTTAGCAAAAAGGACAGGAAAGTGTGCATTTAGTGGTTGTAACTGACATAAATTATAGGTAAATTCCTTGCTTAGCAAGAAAAAAGCTGAAAACCTAGAAAATTATCTCAGCTAGAAAACCCCTACACTCTACCCATTTGTAGATGAGGACAGCAACATGTGCTTCATACTGATTCTTGTATCATAAAGACAGAAAAGGTGTATCTTGCCCCCCTTCTCTTGGCACATTTTATTGACTGAAATTCCCTTCAATTGATGTATTCAAAGACAGGTCCTCCAGCATACCAAAACCTTCTGAAGGCTAGTACTGCAGTGGTTCGAGTCAGCTACCCACGCTCTCTTGTTCCAGTTTCCTAAGGAGAATTACAGCTTGTCTATCCTGAGTGCACCTCTGGCAGGTTCCCTTCTGAGTCATAGTCACAGTAGCAAGACTGAAAGAGAGATGAGCAGCATGGCTGGAGCCATGGCTTCCAGAGAAGGTTGTCCCATGATAGCTGGTTAGGGACAGAATGCAGGGATCTGGTGTGGTTGTCTACTGCTTGGTATACGGCCCTGAGGATTTCGTAGAAATGGCTCTCTGTTTCTGGAGTCAGTGGGACTTTCTCTTCGGGGTCTCTGGAAAGATCAAAGAGCAGAGGGGGATCGTGTCGTGTGATGAATCCTCCATGGCAGAAGCAAACGTGGGAATCGTAGCAACCATTGGAGCCTTCAGGACTGAAGTTTGGAGTGAAGAAGAAGACTTTCCAGACAGATTCACCTGCAATTTACAGACACAAAACAGCTGGTGGTAAAATGACAAACTAAAAGTCTCCTAGTCTTATGAAACTCTAATATACACCATGGGAAATCAGTCTTTTAGTACAACCTCACTCTGTACAGGAACTGCAATATAATGAAAGAGTAAAACAAAATTGAGCAAAAGAAAAATAAGCAAAACATGGCAATTTTCATGCTACACATATTTATGAAAAAATAATGATCATTTCATTCCCTTGGAAGAATTCTGATTAACTAAATCATAGAAGACTTAAAAGAACTTTACGTTTTACATAAACAGTGTTAAGAAGATTTGCATAAATATTTACTAAGCCATTGCACTGTCTTCTTTAAGACTTATTAAAATGTACCTTTGCCCCTTGATCATATCCAGACACTGTTGTGCCATGTCTGCTTCTCATTTTGTTAATAAAATAATTTCATTTTTACCTTTTCCTCTCTTACACTCTTTGTTGCATTAACCTATTACCCTCTGCCACATGCTTTCATTGCAAACACCTGGAGACAGAGCTTCTTGTTTTATTAAATGTGATGACACGAAAAGTGTAATGGATGCTAAATTCCTGTCTTAGGCCTCAAATTTTTTTTCCAGAAATAAGTAACTGTTACGATAGTGCAATTTTTAGATGACATTCTGCTTTGTAAAATGGGAACCAAAGATCTTCATTTACAGATTGGTCATTCTCTTTCAGCTTAAATTGCTAGTAGAGAAACTGAACTGTCTGCACTAGTGTAACTTCAGTCAGTACTTTTACTGCTAAGAAATATTGATTATTTCCTCAATTAAGAATAAGCAGATAGCAATTGGTTCCTTCAAGAAGCTCTCTGGAACAGAAGGTACACTGGAAAATCTGAAAACACTTAACAAGAAAGGAATAAACAAAAAATGGCTCCTATTTTCCACAAGTATCACAGAACAGACAGGGAAGGCAGGAATGGACAGGCACTTCCAGGGAAGCACACTGTCCTCCCATGGTCAGGGAAGATTAAATTTCTCCAGAAATGGACAAGAGAATAATTAATCAGAGTCAAAAATCAGTACTTTATTCTTAACAGAAGTAGGATACTAAACAGCTGGGGTCTATGATGTCAGAATACCTACCCACTTGAGTGTATACAGACATCAGATATGCATATTCATCACTAATTTACATTCCTTAGCACATTTATTATGAAAAACAGTTTTTTGCATCACCTCATTTTTTTAAAGGGAGGGAAAAACTCTTTTTGGTATTTTGTTAAATTCACAGAAAGCTTGTTAATCTAGTAACAGATTGTCACAGATTTATGTGCACTACAGTGTTTAATATTCATTAATCAATTCATCAGTTCAACAGAATGGAAAGCACTAAAATGTGTGGGAAGGGCAGAGATAAACTGGTACATTCTATGCTGATGTAGTTAACATCACACTCAAGTTCTAAAGATAAAAAGAGGTTTAAAGAAAGGAATGTTTCAGTGGACTAAAGAGTCATAGGCTGCAGTTCTAGTCTATATCATGAATTTAAAGGACAGTAGGTGACCTCAAGATTCTTTACAGCTTTTTCTATCCCAAAGCATTTTTCACATTATAAGAGATTTTACCTTTAAGAACCAATTCAATGACAGAGCCTGCAGACATCCAGTTCACTTTGTCTGCTCTTAAATCAGAGCTGGAGGGGTAGTGGTCATGATACACATTAGACTGGGAGAGCCTTCTAAATGCTGCTTGGAAGTCAGCAAAGGGGAAGGAGCTCTAAAGGCTGAGTGACTTGTTGGCACAGACAATAGGACATAGCAGGCTTTAAAAGTCTCTGGCTGTGACAGCAGCCATGGCACAGTCTTACTGGGGAAAAAGGAACAGAAAGGGAAAGGGAAAAAGGAAGGGAAAGGGAAAGAGAAGAGGAGGAAAGGCAAGGCAAGGCAGTGTTCCTTCGTCTATCTGTCCAATAACATTTTGAAAGGTTGGTTTGACACTTGAATTCTTTGGTGTTTTCTCAGAATTAAAATAAACACACAAAATCTAATCCCCCCCCCCTTAAATTTCTTTGAACTTATGCATGGAACATTTCCCAGAGCAGAAATATGCCTCTCATTTACTTAGACTTGGAATTTACATTTTTGGAAGGTATGTAATCCTATACTAAGCATTCCTTCAGGCTTTTTAAAAGTGTTTAATTGGCACATTGGACAATGAAGCATAGAAAAAGCCAAAGGGCTTTATTAATAAGTGCACTGTGTGCCTTTGTAGAACATGCAATATTTGCCCCACCTGAGAATTTGATTCAGGGTGCTATAACGCATTGATAGAAGAAGAGCAGAAAAAAAATTATATAGCCATTAAAATGTCAACTAAAAGAAATTCCAGTAAGGCCATGCACACAAGAACTTTGTGGTCAGGCTGCCTTACCACACATCTGTCTTTCATGGTATACTTGTTCTGAATGACATTGAGAAGATATTTTAGCCAACGTTTTTTGGTCTTGGGCACTGTAGCACCAGGCCAGTTCAAGGGCTTACAGATTGCAATATAAAGTTGAGGATTCTAAACTAATGCAACTCAGTACAAGCAGCTCTTATAGGTAAGATATGGGAAAAAAAAAGTTGTACCAGGACTTTTTTTCCCCTCAAAATAAGGAACTGTTCAGGTTTATCTATATACAGAGCATACAGCGTGTTGCAAAACCATGTGTGGGGTTGGGGACAGGGCATGTGTGACATCCCATCATGTCTGAATCAAGTTGTTAGTGTTTTGAAGAGCTGATGCCAGTATGTGAACTAGGCAGCTATACAATATCATGATCATACTGCGCAAAGCACTAAGCTCTGGGAGCACAAAGTCAGTTATTGTGCAATGTTCATCTGTTGCACTGCAGTGATGTTTCAGCAAGGATCTGGAACTTCATGTGGTGCTGGAGGAACAGCAGCACAGACTTTAACCACCAATTTCCTAACCATTATAAAAGCTAAAGCGTATCTGTCAGTGTCTGTGACCGTGGAGGAGCCAGTGTAATATACTGGGAGACATAAAATGCTGTCAGACTTCTAATCTGTAAAGCTGATGAACTGTATAAGGCTTGATATTAAAAAGAGAGAGCTCTCTCCCAGTCTCTCTTGGCTGATATAAAACCTCATTTTGTCAGAGGGTTAACTACAAGGATCAAATTAATATCTCAGTAATTGATGATACTTTTGTTCTGCAAAGCATCTGGATAAGATAACTATATGTCTCTTCCTCAGTGAAGTTAGTAGTAAAATTGTCAGGACTCCCCCACAGTCAAGTATATCAGGTCCCTTCTAAAACAGCAGGCAAGTCCTAAGCCTTCAGCACCCTTCAAGATCCTGTCCCAATCTTCACAGCCACTTTACTTAGCATCCATTTTCCCTGCAATTCTCTAGCTCTCTGAATTGTCCAACAGTTTCACCTATTCAGCTATCAGAATACCTCTTTCCTTTACATGTTAAGAAAAACAAAAGCTACAGAAGTTGTACATATAAATAGTCTCAAATTAAAACAGGTTGCAATTAGTTCAAACTAACCTGCTATGAACGTAATTGTTCATAGTTCGATCTCGCTAACAGACTCCTCTTCTGTTTTATTATCCTTCACCCAGCTATTTATCCTCTCATACTCACACAGATAACCATAGCTCCAAAAGACAGGTAGCAACTGTGAGATTAAATAAAAGTCTCTCAGTAAGATATATTAATATTTCCAAGATGAAGTGACACACTGGATATGGATGTCATTTCTCTTATAATAGCACTGCTCTTAATCACTGATGGTTAAATGGGGTTTTCTGATAAGCAGTTCTTGAAGTGAATAGTAGCTATTGCTGTGTTATTGCCTGGACCTCATTTTTACCACATTTAATCTATGACAGTAGCTTTATAGGTTTGTTGTTACTGTCTTCTCCTCCATTTAGATTATTTTGTTTCTTCTTTCTGTAGAAGAACAAATTAAACAAGTCTGTTCTTCACTGTAAATTAGGGAGCTGGTCTCTCCTTGACTTCAGATGCCTTTAAGCATAACCTTTTGAGTGTAGTGTACAGATGTAAATTGCCCACAGACTTTTCCTGAATCCTGAATGTGCTCTGTACCCATTGTCAGCTCCCCCATTCTAATTCACGCCAGCTCCAGAGTAGCAGATGAAAGCTGCAACACACTCGAAAACGACATTTTTCAGATAACTTGTTATTGTTAGATTGAATCCTTTCTTCCAGCTTCCTCTATCTTTAGAATCATTTAGAATTGTTAGATTCTCTGCTAATGTTATATAAAATTGATATCAATTATGTCTATTTATTCATCTCTTCAATAATTTAACAATTTAGAAAAGGTTTCAGTAGCTAAATTATTGTAGAACTATATCTAGCACATAAAGAATCCTATTTGTTTACTATAAAGAAAATACACATATTATTTTCATGACTATGTGCATTCCTCAAACAGCTAATACAAATCTGCTATTTGAGTTTTAAAATTTGTAATTTTATTGCTCATTCAGTGAAAGTTTGTATTTTTTTACATATTTATTTGGTATCTTATGATGTTATGTTGTTACACCAGTTAGAAAACAGGACATTATGTCCCAGTGTAGGTGCAGAACAACTGTGTGATGTTTGAAGATGTAATGTTAGTTTATGTTGCTAGAAGAGGCTTGCATAAAGAACTTTGCAGAACATACTGTACTTGAGGTAAAACCATGAAAAAAGCCAGTAGCAGCAGTGATTTTAAAATCTTAAGGATAGAAACAGCAGTGTTAAGTGAAAACAGAAAGTATTGTATATTGGGGGATAACTAATAATAACTGAACAACTGCTGGAGGAAAAATATAAGACATATTGAAATGATGCTTAGGCTGCTGAAATTAAGACAGAAATCTCATGACTGAGCTTATTGGTATGAGCAGCTTCCACTGAATTCGAAAGTCAAGATTATCTGCTGAATGGTAGCAGATAACAAAAAATTATGTTCCTGATTTTTTTATCATCATCTTA